GCCTGCTCCCCGCCGGGGAAGCCCGCCTGCCTGCCATGTTAGTTTGTAGCTGTGCAAAGCCATTGCTCCGCGCCGGGGCTGTCGTTACCCCACGGGCGAGGCTGTCCCCTTGGCTTTTCTGTTTTCCCTCTGGTGACAGCCCAGGGCCTGCAGTCTGCAGCTGGCCAGGAGCTCGGCGCGGAGGCTGGCTGCCCGTTTTTAAGAAGATTTATTCCTGTACTGGGAGGGCCCTGCGGGAAACACTGCAGGCAATTAAATCCAGCCCAAGCGTGTAAAGCGACATCCTGTGCTGGGCTGTCTGCCTGGTGTGGTAGGGGCTGCTGGGCGACAGAATATTCCTCGATGCAGCTGAAAGTCGTGGCCAGAATGTGAAAATGAGGCCTGGAGAGTAATGTTTGATGGTAAATTAACAGAGTCTTGCATTTTCCTGTAATTAATAGCATCAGGTGGTCTAGTGGCTTATTTTCGGGTTGGAGTGCCCTTTTCTGAGTCGCCATCTCGCTGACCTGCGGGCTGGGACTCTGCTTCCCTCGTTGCCCAGTTTCCCAGCCGTTCCTGGGTGGGAGCCTGGGCAGCAGCAGCGTGGAGGGGTCCAGTCCCTTCGTCACCGACACCGGTCACCCGAGCTCCCTCCGGCACCGCCTTGGGAGTCTAGGCGAAGCAGGGCTCTGCTCTAATGCTTGCCTCCTTCTGCCCTGCCTGCAGTACCACAGCAGCCTGGCTTCTCTGAACGGCCTCGAGGTTCATCTGAGGGAGACTCTGCCCAAAGACTCCTCTTCCTCGGCCAAGACAACCTACAGCTTCACTCACTATGACTGCGTTCAGAACGTCCTCACAGGTAAGCCTTCATCTTCTGGAACAGCGGCCGCTGCGGAGCAGGGGGTGTGGAGGAGAACAGGGTTCGTGGTAACCTTTAGTCGTGCTGCAGACAAGTTCTGGGAAACGTTGCCTGCTGTAACTCTTAGCAGACAGCCTGGATAGAAGGCCCTGTTGTGGAAGCTTTGTCTTCTGTGAGTTTATAATCTGGTGAAGGCTTGCTTATCCAGGCCGAGCGTCCGTTGTGAGATGGCGCAGCTGCCACTGGCGCTTTGCTCAGAAGGAGGTTGCTGGGGTTCTGCTAAGGGCCAGGTCCGAGGACGGAACTCGACGTCCTCTTCAAACCTGACCTCCCTGCCCCGACGTCACTCGTCGCTGGTGTGACGCCTTTTGCCCTGCTCTGTGGCAGAGTGCTTGTCAGCCGTTTTTGGCTATGAGGAGCAGGAAGGGGAACAGGCAGTAGCCAGCGGTTCACAGACTGCTGCCCTGGATCGATGGGGAGGCCAATGACACGCAGAAGGCCCTGTGCACGCATTGCTCCAGCTCGTTCTGATGCTTCCAGCAGCCTCCCAGGCAGTGCCCCACCTCTCTCCAGCTTAGACCTGCTTTAGGAAAGGGAGAAACCCCAGCAGTTCTAGGTAACCCTGGTCTCCGCCTGCTTGTCACCCCTCTGATGCGTGGGGTGGAAGGTGCACCGGGCTTTGTGACTGTGCATGGCTGAGCATGGCGCAGGCGGCTCCCTGACTCCACTGAGGTCACACCGGGGCTTAGGGTGCCTGCCAGTCTCTGGTCTGTAGGCATCAGGGGCTGTGGGACAGGTCCATTCCGGCGCGGGGGGTGGGGGCACGCTCCTCCCCAGCGTGGGCTTTAACCCCCACCCCTTCCTCCCGTCCTGCAGCCAACCTGCCCCAGGCGCCCGGCCCGCTGGATCGGCACTTCCTGAGAGCGGCTGCGCTGATCCACTCCGACTTCCACCAGCTTCCGACTGCCTCAGAAGTGATCGTTCGGTACGGCCTGCTCGTAGCTCCCTCCTCCAGGCACAGCAGTGCTGCGCGGCACGCGGAACGGGCAGAAGGGGGGGAAGCCCTGTCCCAGGGCCGGCTGAGGCCTGGCACGCGGGGTGATCACACCGGTGTCTCTTGTGAGGGTCGGTCACGTCTCTGTGTTCCCCGAAGTCTGCTCGTTAGGTGTGGGCTGCTTAATCACAGAATCACAGAATAGTAGGGGTTGGAAGGGACCTCTGTGGGTCATCTAGTCCAACCCCCCTGCCGAAGCAGGGTCACCTACAGCC